GCATTGCACATATCACACACATAAAATGGGGTGATATTTTGTTCTCCTAGTCACTTCCACTATTTTGAAGCTGGTCATTCCATTTGTAGATCCCCTTGACTAAAACCAATAAAATGTGACATACAGAATAAAAGTGGAATATAGCAATGAATAATCATACGGGTTTTTAAAAAATAATTTAGCTTAAACAATTTAATCCTGCTGTAAGTTAGTGTATCCCAATATTTAACACACTATCTTATTTTTCTTCTATGACAGAGGGAAAATCAGAGGAATATCAATTCCATACTAACTACTAAGGTTAGAGTAGTTTCATACCAACTACTCTAACCTTAGTTAGAGTTCCTCAATTCTTGCCTTCATCATTGCAAATAAACATCCCAGATGGGATGTGTGCCATAGGTGATAGAAATTGGAGACTGATATTTTGAAAGCATCGAGCTTGATTTAGTTCATTCACTGATGTCTTCACTGAATAGGTCTTGCTTTGTTTTAGGCAGTATTTTTTAAACAGGGTTTTAAATTTTCTAAAAGGTGTTATATCTGCTGGCTCATGTTTAATCTGTGGTTTTATTTAATTATTTATTAACCAAGATTGATCAATTTTTAAACTAAACTGAATTTGTTTTAATGAAGTGAGATCATCTCGTGCTAAAAAATCAATTATACAGCATAATCATAATCATACTGATTTAGTTAAATAAGTATGGCAAGAGCCAGTTTGGTGTAGTAGTTAAGGCACCAGGCTAGAAACTGGGAGACCAGGAGTTCTAGCCTTGCCATAGGCATGAAGCCAGCTGGGCGACCTTGGGCCAGTCACTCTCCCTCTCAGCCCTAGGAAGCAGGCATTGGTAAATCACTTCTGAAATCTTACCAAGAAAACTGCTGGGACTAGTCCAGGCAGTCGCCAGGAGTCAGCACTGATTTGAAGGCAAATAAATAAATAAATAAATAAAGCAGAGATTATAACAAATGTATTTTAGGAAGAGTCAATCCCAAAACATTCTATGAATATTTTAACTGACGACCACATCTAAATATTTTATTCTTTAAGTATGAAAAAAAATAATCTATAAATGTTTACCAGTTTTAGTTCTGTAAAATCTATCTGTTGAGGTTACATTTAATTTACTTAAGTGTTGACAAAGACTATAGTATTTCTATATTTCTGAGATTAAACCTACATAGCCAGCCATAGATCAATATTCTTAGTATGAAAATTTTAGAAGGATAGGTCTCATATAGTTATTTTTCATATGGGGACAAATTCTCCTACTTAAAATTTTATCTAGTAAAAGCAACATTGCTGTATAGAATAATCAGCTTCAGTGAAGTGCACCACAGATAAAAGGGTCCAATAGGGATTATCTCAAAAAACCAACTGACCTGCATCATATTTTTCCTCTTCCTAAAGAGAATTTCTTACTGATAGGAAAATGCAATTAGTATTTCTGTGGAAGGCTTTGTAGGAAGCCTAGTATATCTGTCTGTCTGTCTGCCTGTCTGTCTATCTATACCTGCCTACCTACCTACCAGCTAATAAAGTCCATGCTGTTTCATGCAACTTTCATTGGCTACTAAATTAAGAATAAGATTTTCATACTATTCTCTGTTAAGACAGATCGAATTGTCATGTTATTTATCACATAAACTTAGAAACCCATATAATCTTTTCCAAACTTTCTAAAAAGTACTAGCAAATCATAATATGCTTAACCAAAAGAGATTTATGGAGGGACAAGTGAGGTACATTGTCATTACTGTATTCCAGAGCAATTATTTTTATTTATTTTATATATATATATACACACACACACACACACACACATTCTTTGTTAACCATTTGGGAAAGGGGGGTTGCCTCCACAAAGCTTAGTTTCAGGGTTGATGCTTTGTGTACAATTTTTGCTATTTCTATCATCAAACAGGCAGAAAGGTTTGTGACAATCATTTTTAATGATTTGACAAAAATATCTACAAACCATTATTTGCATTGCACAAAAAAATAAAACCTTCACATGAGTTACTGAACATTACCACCTTGATAGCATCTATGGTATGCTTTCAATCTAGAAAGTCATAAAATAACCAGACTTCAAATTCACCTCTCCATGAACCTAGAAAGATTAATGTGATATTGCTAAAGGGAATTTCTGTGCTAGTAGAGGAATAGAGTAATAAACATGTTCAAATAGCTTCTAAAGGATGGACTGTAAAATGTCATGGATGGCTTCCAGAATGAAATCTCAGCATTTCAACATACCCATAACTGAAACATCATATTCTATTAGCAGAGTTGCTTCTTGCCCGCACTGCTTGAGAATACACATGGCTTCATTGTGTGAAGTTCCAACAAGCCGAATTCCATCAACGCTAAGCAACCTGTCTCCAGGCTTGATTGTACCCTCTCTGAAAAAGAGCAGTCATTATTCATTTCATATAATGTGACTCTTAGAAAACTTCTAGATTTTCTAGCATTCTTTTTCAACATCCGACACAACTGGCTGTTCTTTTAACATTTACTATGGGTGTGCATACAACATATTTCACTTCAAAAATTTGAACATAACATTTTCCAGATTGTCCCAGTGTGATCATGAAATAGGTTATTTGAAGCACTGTGGAAATGTTTCAAGCTTGAAACAGAGTTGGTTTAAGTGCCTTGAGCACTGATTGCACAATCCTTGAAATGGAGCATTTCACAAAATTTCATGTTGGAAACATTTTGTACACTCCTAATATTTGCTATGATAGCAAGATAATTTAAGAGTCTCACTGACACAAACAAAAACAGTATAGGATTAAATAATGTGGACAGTATTGTATACTGCATTTGGCATCACAATATTTTTCTCATAGTTTTAGCCTAAAAAAGGTAAACATGTATTTTAAAGACTAGGAAAAAAAATAGCACCAGCATAAAAATACATAAATTATGAATCTAAATAATGTGTCTGCTTAATTCTGAGTGCTAAATACTAGCATAAATAAAAACCTTAACTACAGCTTGAAAATGCTGAGGCCCCAGTTTAGCTAACTTTTCTGGTGGAAAGAGGCTTCATAACTGCAAATTAATCTTTGTTCATTTTCAAACGGCTACATACATTGGACAGGAGATTTACCATGTTTTAGAGTAGAGTTGAAGTTCCTGCAACAGAAACAGGTTGTTTAGGGCAGGAGATAATATTATAGGTAGTCCTTGTTTAGTGACTGCCTCATTTAGCGACCATTCTCAGTTATGACGGTGATAAGAAAGTCACTTTGTGACCAGACCTCGCATTTATGACCTTTGCAGGTCTGTAAAGCAAAGGAAAGCTGAAGTAAGATCATAAG